TCCCCTGTGAAGGAAGAGGCTAAGTCTCCAGCTGAAGCCAAGTCCCCTGAAAAGGCCAAGTCCCCTGTGAAGGAAGAGGCTAAGTCTCCAGCTGAGGCCAAGTCCCCTGAGAAAGCCAAGTCCCCAGTGAAGAAAGAGGCTAAGTCTCCAGCTGAGGCCAAGTCCCCTGAGAAGGCCAAGAGCCCAGTGAAAGAAGAAGCAAAATCTCCAGCCGAGGCCAAGTCTCCAGAGAAGGCCAAGTCCCCAGAGAAGGCCAAGTCTCCAGTGAAGGAAGAGGCTAAGTCTCCTGCTGAGGTCAAGTCTCCTGAAAAGGCCAAGAGCCCAGTGAAGGAAGAGGCCAAATCTCCAGTGGAAGTCAAATCCCCAGAGAAACCCAAGTCCCCAGTGGAGGTGAAGTCTCCAGAGAAGGCCAAATCTCCACTGAAGGAAGAAGCAAAGTCTCCTGAGAAGGCCAAGACTCTTGATGTGAAATCCCCAGAAGCTAAGACACCAGTGAAGGAGGAACTAAAGTCCCCTGCAGATATTAAGTCCCCTGAAAAGGCCAAAAGTCCTGTCAAGGAGGAAGCTAAGTCTCCAGAGAAGGTGAAATCTCCCGTAAAGGAGGATGCCAAGACTCCTGAGAAGGAGGTCCCAAAGAAGGAACAGGCAAAGTCTCCTGTGAAAGAGGAGAAACCCCAGGAGGTTAAAGTCAAAGAGCCCCCAAAGAAAGTGGAGGAAGAGAAACCTCCAGCTGCACCAAAAACCGAGGAGAAGAAGGATAGCAAGAAAGATGAGGTGCCCAAGAAGGAAGCTGCAAAGCCTGGGGTTGAGGAGAAGAAGGAACCTGCTGTAGAGAAGCCCAAAGAATCCAAAGTTGAAGCCAAGAAGGAAGAGACTGAAGGTAAGAAAAAAGCAGCAACCCCAGAGAAGGAAGCTCCTGCCAAGGTGGAGGTCAAGGAAGAGGCTAAAGCCAAAGAGAAGGCTGATGTGGCCAAGAAGGAGCTAGATGATGCCAAGGCCAAAGAACCCAGCAAACCATCAGAGAAGGAACCAGAAAAGCCTAAAAAGGAAGAAGCTCCAGCAGCACCGGCAAAAAAGGACACCAAGGAGGAGGCCAAGAAGCCTGAGGAGAAACCCAAGACGGAGGCCAAAGCCAAGGAGGAGGACAAGGCAAAAGAGCCCAGCAAGCCTAGCAAACCCAAGACAGAAAAGGCTGAAAAGTCCTCCAGCACAGATCAAAAAGACAGCAAGCCTCCAGAGAAGACCCCAGAGGACAAGGCCACCAAGGGAGAGAAGTAAGTGAGGGAAGGAGGCACATCCGGAGCAGCCAAAGAAATTCAGGAGGGCCGGGAGCTTGTGGATCAGTGTAACGAACTTTCATGTTCTCTCCCTTTTCTTTATATAAGAAGAAACTCTGCTTAGATGACGGGCCCTCCTTCACCAAACAGGCATTTCTGATAGCGATATGTTTGCAAGAGAAGGGACTTCCAGCCCCCTTCCTCTCACACCCCAAACCTCTCCCAGGTGATGGACAATTATGATAGCTTATGTAGCTGAATGTGATATATGCCGAATGCCACACGTAAACACTTGACTATAAAAACTGCCCCCTTCCTTTCCAGATAAGTGCATTTATATCCTGTATGTGCAATGACAGATGACCGCAATAATGAATGAGCAGTTAGAAACACATTATGCTTGAGATGTCTTAACCTATTCCCGAATGCCTTCTCTTTTTCCAAAGGAGTGGTCAAGCCCTTGCCCACAGCATTCCATCCTGGAAGAGCTGGAGCAGGGGGGCTGGGCACTGGCCACTGAACCATGCCAGGGCGCACTTTTCCACTGAAGTCTACTTTCAATTGCTTCTGTGCAATAAAACTAAGTGCTTATAAAATGAAAATGCTACGTCTGTTTATTCTCCTCTGGGAAGGGCTGGGATGGTGAGGTGGGGGAGGCCTAGATGTTATGTCTAACACTGCCCAGGACTGAGAAAACATGATGCTTACTGGCCTGAGAGCAGTTGTGGGAAAACAAGGTCCTTACCCCCTGTTGCAAAGAGCCAATGATCACAACAGATGGCAGAGAGGAAGCAAAAGGTTTATTGAGTATCCACACCCAAGGAGCCAGAGAGAGTCATTTCTCTAAAATGTCAGTCTCCTTGAGCAAAGGGGTAAACATGATTATACAGAGAAATGGGAAGGGGCTTGAAGATCTGGACAAACAGGAATGCCTTTGTTCTCTTCCCTGGTTACTCTAGACTCAGCGTCGCCTGGAGTTGAAGATTTCTTGGATGACTAGGCATGCCTTTATCTTCTCTTCCCTGGTTATTCCGGATACAGCATCCCTCTTCCCAGGGTCCTCTTGATCCATAGGCTACAGTTTGAAAATAGCAAATCTAAAGAACTCAGCATCCATGAAAAGACTGGCTATTTACTTAAAAGGGAGGGGAAAGGAGCAAGTTAGTCACTGTGATTAATGTCCACTTTAATCATGCCTGCTAGCCTGTGAAAGTTTTACAGTTTTCAGTGAGGGGCCTGTTTGGCCTTCCACTTGAGTTGATTGACTTCTGATGCTATTCCCTGGGCACAAACCATGGGCCTGGCAGTGTTCTAGGTGCTTTGATTTTATGGTCTTGTGACAGCTGACACACTGCATGGTTCCTCAAGAGGTTCCACCAGCCTCACATCA